GGATGACTATATACTATTTATGAACATATTTTTACACTTCTTTATAGTATATATGATGGATGACTATATGCTATGAAGATGATTTTGAGATATATCTACCTATGTTTGGAAAGATTATATTCAATGGTTTTGTGTGTATCTAGTGGTCACTGTTCTGCCTACGGGCGATGATACTTATATTGCCTATGCGTATGGGAGATGATACTTATATTGCCTTCAGGCGGGCGTGTGTAGGGCACTGTTCTGTGCGTACGGCGGAAGATACTTATATTGGCTTCAGCCGAGCGTTGGTAGATGGCTTTAGCCGGAAGATACTTATATATGATACCACTAGTTAGCACACTATACGATATATGTTTCATGAAAGGTTTTATGGTATGCTAGGGTTTTTAGAAAAAAACCTATTACTCTGTGTATGATAAAGAAATGCTTGCAGTGGTTTTTGCAGTACAAAAGTGGCATTTGCATTTGCTTGGCCATCAATTCAAGATTCTTATGGATCATCAACTCTGAAATATTTTCTTGATAAGTGTATTACTACTCCTGCATAAGAGAAATGGTTGCTGAAGTTACTTGGGCATAACTACACCTTGGAATATAGGCCAGACACTTCGAATAAAGTCGCCGACGCACTCTTCTGCCACTCGGAGATTCTTTCATTAATAGGCATCTCACAACCCCTTTTTTACTGCAGTGCAAAAATTCATGGGTCATATTCGCCAATGCACTCTTCCATCGCTCGGAGATGCTTTCATTAATGGGCCTCTCTCAGCCCCTTGTCACGGCCTTGTAGCAGGACCAGACAAGTTAGGGGTCTTTTAAACTCCAAGGAAATCTCCTATATTACAAGACACAAGTATTTATGTGTCTGTCTCTTCCTCTTGGCGATGTCGCCTCCTTCTTGAATTCCATTTTTGTCCCTCAGAGGGAGATTTAGGGTTCTTATGCACCTACAAACACTTGACACTTAATTTCAATTAACCAGGCTTGAAAAATGATGTAAAAATTTTGTAGCTGGTAATGACTTGCCAATGTGCCAATTATGAGATGATCAAGCCCCTAGTCTATTGCAGCCTCTTTCCATTCCCAGCCAAGTCTGATTGGCATCGCAATGGATTTTATTAAAGGTCTTCTATCGGTCCATGGAAGGAATGTTATTTTGGTGGTTGTTGTTCGCCTTTCCAAGTATGAGCATTTCATCCCTATCAAACATCTATATTCAACTTCTAAGATTGCTGAGATATTTATTCAAGAAGTTTTTCGTGGTCATGGTATGTTGGCTTCCATAGTCAATGATCGGATTCCTATTTTTATCAGTGAATTTTGGGCTGCCTTCTTTAAACAACAACACACCATTCTTTAGATGAGCTCGGTTTATCATCTCTAATCCGACGGGCAAACGAAAAGTGCTAAATCGCACCATGGAACACTACTTGCATAATATTGTGATAGATAAACCTTGTGATTGGATTCAGTGGCTGACATGGGCATAGTGGTGGTACAACACCACCTTCCAGTCCGCCATTTAATTGACAAATTTCCAAGTTGTTTATGGATACCCTCCTCCCATAATGTCCACGTACCTTCCAAGTTCTTCCCTAGTTCATCTAGTCGATGTCATTCTTCGTGATCATGACTCTTTACTCAAACATTTGCATAAGCACTTACAACTGTCACAAACAAAATGCGCCAACAAGCAGACAAACACCGGTCTGAGAGGACTTTTCAAGTTGGAGACTGGGTTTTCCTCAAACTTCAACCATACAGGTAGACCCATCATGTCCAAAAACCACTGTCCCAAACTGGCCCTTCACTACTATGGAACCTTCCAAGTACTGGCTCAGGTTGCGCAAGTTGCGTATACACTAGATCTCCCTCCTCATTCCTGCATTCATCTTACCTTTCACGTGTCCTTGTTCAAAACCAAGATTGGTAATCATATTGGAGCTTCTACAACTCTGTCAATAGTATACTCTGATGGTACTCTCAGGTGGTCTCCGAAAACGATCCTGCAGTGTGGTATGTTCAAGCATGCTAATAAATCAGTCACTCTTTGGTTAATCAAATGGGAAGGTCTTCCAGAACATGACGCAACATGGGAGATTGCAGATTCTATCTTGGTCTGCTTTCCTAAGTTCGTCGCCTAAGGATAGACTCTTTGTAAGGGGGAGTGCTGATAGGACCCTACCAAGTCTCATAGTTGTTTCCTTGTCCTTTTGATATTGCCTTAGCTGTAATGGTGACTCAGCACTAGGAATTACTATGTTCTTTGTCTGAATTAGATTATGTGGGTAGATATAAACACATTGTATTTCCTTTATGACTATGAAATGAATTAATCCTTTAGTTTTCTCTGTTTTTCATCCCTTACCAAATCTTCCTCTTCTCTGTGTGGCTGGAACCCTAACATTTGGACAACAAAGGAGAGTTGCGAGTGAGTGTGTCATAGGAAAAGAGAAAAGTGGAGGGTGATGAAGGAACGAAGGGGGGTGAATTTGTAGTTTGAGTTTGGAATTTGTGCTCCATGCCATTTGGGGTTAATGCAATTGTTTAGAAATCAAATTAGGTTTAGAAATCAAATTAGGTTTCAAGGTCATTGGCTTAAGCATCATAATTTTAGTAATGTTGCTTTGAAATATCCTGCAGGATTTTCGCCTATGGAAGATTTCATTGCTAATTGTATGGTAATCTTAAACTTTTCTTGAAGCAAAAGAATAATTAACTACCAAATCTATTTGATGAATTATCTGAAACACAATTACAACTTTCTCCAATTCAAGATCTTTCATTTTTTTTTTATCATTGTAATTTTAAGCTGGCGGGAAAAATAATGGGACGGCCGTTCATCATAAAAATTGTCAACAAGAGGAACTCTTAGGTGCATCATCAACTGCTAAACTATATATATGATTGATGATAAAATTGATGAAGATTCATCAGCTGCAATATTTGCTTTATGATTCATGATAACACAAGATGCCAAATGTGGTACTACTAAATCAATCTATTCTTTATGACCTGGATGAGAACCTTGGAATTTATTCAACTTACAACTAGGTCTGGTAATTTCTGACACGACTTGTTAACCCGATGTGAAATGACACGAAATTAACATGTTATCGGGTCGACACAATAACGAATCGGGTCATTACGGGTAAGGTCTAAAATATCGATATTATCCCGATATTTCTATCAAAATTTCCGTATTTTTGACTACCGATATTTCCGATATCATCGATATTTTAGACCTTCATATGAACTCTATGTGGTATTAAGTCACTCATGTATCTTACCATGCAATGTATAAAGTATAAAATATTGTACTAATTCATTATATATAAATGATTATGGTGTGTTTAAATTTCTTTCATTAATTACTACATATTTTCTACACTCACAATGTTTGCCAGCTCGCTATATAATCAACTTAAATCAGTTAAATTCATCATGCAATGCATTTCCTTCCAATTTTTTGTGATAAACTAATAGATAATTGACTAAATAAACATCCTGCAAAGTTTCAATAAAAATTTCCAAGTTTTTCTTACAATTTTCGTGGTTTTTATTCAATTTTTATCGATATCGATAATATCCCAATATTTCCATCGAAATTTCCGTGTTTTTGGACTACTGATATTTCCGATATCATCGATATTTTAGACCTTGGTTACGGGTAATTCAATAAGCACCTGTTAAGATAACTGATTAATCCAGGTATACAAATGGGTAACTCGATACACGATAAACAAAATATTAATTTAATAATTTTATACTTCTAAAAATTACTATAATCATATATATGTAGCGCATATATATTAAATTAAATTTAGAAAATTGATGACCATTAGATTGGTTGTCCATTGTACATTAGGTTAGAGCCCAGACTATCCTCCTCTCTCATTCACTCCAATCTATCCAGACATCAACACTCGGCGCCGCTCTCAGTTCAAGCTTTGTTGTGTACACAAGATTGGTTCTTTGGAAAAATAAGGTATATGATATAGTACTATTGCTTTGTTTCTTTTCATAATTATTTTGGTAAACTTCTCATAATTTGAATGGTTTATAATGTTTGGTTTGTCTATACTACTTAGTTTATGTGGAAGAGAGTTCTGATGTAGAAAACCTTACTCAAAACATCATCAACATAACTCTTGAAGGCAATAGATCAAGCCAAAGTTCCAATACAATTTCCCCATTATGATCGATGAAAATTGAAGGATTTTGTAAAAGGAATAACATGCAAGTTTTGAGTTTCATTGGCAAGGTTTTAACTTCTGAGAAAGGCTTCACAACCTTGAAAAGAAAAACTCCTCCATTTTGCATATCCTTGCACATTTGATATTTTGTAGTAGACTAGTAGTGTGTATTGATGCTTTTTTATTAGACTCTTATTTTAGAGTGTTAGATATCATATAGTACTTAACGACAAATGTGTTTTTATGTTTTGAAGTAATATTTATATGGCAATGTGGTATGTGCAAATTTAAGAAATATATATATATATATATATATATATATATATATATATATATATATATATATATATATATTTTTTTTTTTTTTTAAAAGGTCTAGTCATTTTACCTATTGGGTAAAGTGACCTAACATGTTCAGGATCCGTTAAGATAACAGGTGTGACACGACACAACCTATTAAGATAATAAATGTTACACGAAAACGACACAAAACACAACCTATTTGTCAGACCTACTTACAAGAATAACAATAAAAAAGAATAAAACAAATAGAAACCAAAAAAAGAAAAGAAAAATAGATAAAATTAAAAGAGAAATAGAAAATAGAGAGAAAATGACTAACTTCTAGCACATCAATTAATTACGATTAGATTATTTACCATATTACATCCCACTAGATAACCCTACGACAAAATACCTTAATGATCTAATTAATTACAAAATATAGAGAATGGTCAATCTTAATTGCCACCACCACCTCAAAATAATAAAATAATGTTCATGAGCCCCCACTTTCTAGACTCATATCGAAATACTATTCGGCACACCACGACATGTAATCCCAGGCTCGGAACTTGGTACAAGCAACTCATAAGGCAAAACTCCTGCTCCACATCTATGCTTAAGACTTGGATCACTATTCCTCCTGTCAATCTCCTTCTCAATTTCCCTAATCTCCGCAGAAAACTTGTGAAATGCCTCCACCACATCCGCATCCCCTGACCAAGTAGAAGGTTGCTGCCTCTCCCCGAGGTACTCCTCGTCCGGTGAATGTGTTGATAATATGTCCACCACAGCCATGTATTTTATGGCTTGCAGGACGCTTGGCAAAGCTGAGAGGAAGAACTTTTGTGGGTCTGAGATGAAATTTGCGTATTCGGGGTCATTCTCCTCCGGGATCATTCTTCTCATCAGGGGTGGCCTGTTGGGGACATATCCTCCATAGGGGTACTGTGCAAAATTGAGTGCAGCATGTTGAGCTGATGCTAGCCAGATTAATGTGCTGAGGATTGAGACTAGGTCATCTGCTGTGGACAGTGACGGCCACCAGTTTTCATGGCGGAGATCAGCATGACCTACATTGACGGACTCCGAGTACCAGTCTTGCAGCTCTCTGTCGTTTCGGATTAGGCTTGAGTCGGGGTAGTAATGGTGCACGTAGGTTCGAACCCAGTTCTCAATTGCACCCCAGATGAGTAATCCATCACTGCCATATGGGTAATCTTCCATTACAAGTCTCACACCGTGGGCTTGTGTTGGATCAGGCACTGCCATACCCCTACATTAAAAATTATGAACCAAATAAATTAGATAAATAACATAGAAACATATATCATATGGTAACGTGTGCTAACAAGACATATTGTCAAACTATGAATTTGAACCATATATTCAGAAGAATAGTAAACCTAATGCAAACGCATGCAATATGCTAGATCTTTTGTCACCTACCTTTGTACAAGATCTGCAGGAAGGCTTTGGGTGTCAAAGCGCCAGGTTTGGTATGCTGAAGAACTGATTTCCATGGCATAGCGGCCTGGAGTGAAGCATGACTCGATGACACCATCAGCGTTGATCAAGATCTGGCGAGCCAGTTTATTGATCTCAAGAGTGTATCTCATGTGCGGATCCAAAAGCTTGTAAATCGGGTGCATTGCGCTTAACTGTCTATGTGCTGCCAAGATAAACGGCTCTAGGGTAGCATGGGTACGAAGCCTGCAACCAATGCAACAAATTTTCAGCACAAACATGTACAACAAAATCATATATTATTATAAAATAAGTAACCCCAAGTTGGCTACATAAACTATTATGGCTAATTTGATAATATATAATCAACTGTCACAAAATATAGTTAGTCAATTATTATGAACAAAAAAAGAGAATTTACGTACCAATGGTGTACAAGTTGGTGGACGCCAGCGTCATTGGCGCAGACATGTGCCTTAGCAAGCTGCCACATCCAGTTGGTGGTGGCGTCAACAGCAGGTGTCAAAACACGCTTTGATCTTGAACTTGGTCCTGTATTGGGGAGGGTAAGCTCGATAGCGATGGGCTTGAGAACTCCAGTTGGTGTCAAGAAATAAAGGGTACGAGTTGCGTAGGCTTTTCTCCCATCTAGAGCATTAATCCGATCAAGAAATGGAAGATAGACGTCATGGTAATCCACCATGTACAACTTGTTCTCATCCAACGCCTGCAAAATTAATAAAACAAACAAAAAACAAAGATGACCATCAACGATACAAAAAATGGTTGAAGAAAAGATGGATAGTCCCATAAAAAGGTTGGAAATATTATTCACGCTTTCAATTTGTTGTAGTTAAAATACCGATATTTAACTACAGAATGATGCTCGGAATGTTTTCCTAAAAAAGTCTGGGACTATTGAAATAGTATATGGGATAATGAGTAGTACCTGATGTACAGTCATGCCATAGAGATAGGGTGTGATGTGTTCTTCTTTGAGAGCAGACTCTAATGGCCCATAAACCTCAGGATCAAGTTTGCTTTCTGGTGGGAAAACCTTAAGCCTCTCAATGCTCAGTGGATTAACCCCTGCCACTGCTTGGCGGGCAAATTCGTCATCTCGCAACCAACACAATTTGTCCTCTGCACATGGAATAATATCTCAGTTAATCAAAAGATTAATCATGGCTTTTGATTGATTCATTATATTCCCACACAATGACTGCGCACTACATATATTTATATACTTAGTGGGCACATTGAGGGATTTTAATTAATTAAGAGCATATAGGTTGAAGAATTGAACTCACTGCTTAGAATCTTGGGGGTGTCATATTTGAGAACGCCCTGGTTATAGTCCTGGAATTTACTGACCATACTTGGCAATGGAAGCTTCTTTAAAAATTCATCCTGCAAACCCAATTTGAGGAGGACGCCCTCACTGTAGAGGCTGTCGATGTCAGCGAATCCCCGGAAGTCTTTGTCAGCTTTGAAGCTGGACATTAGGGAAGGGACCAAGTTGTGAAGGACACCCTTGAGCCTCCCAAATAAAAATGTGTCCATTTTCGACTCCTCAAATTGTTCATCTCTTGGTACATACATTGGTAGTGGCTTCTCAACCCTACTCTCCGCTAGCATATCTGAGCCACAAACAAAACAAATAGACCATTTAAATTTAAGTTATTAACAGTCATAGTTTGGCAACATAATGTGACAGACTATGTGGCGAGTGAACATTTCATACCAGTATCAGTTGGGGGGCGACCGGTTCGACATCTTCTAGGGTAGGGAATTTTATTACCGCCAAGTGTAGGCCTAGCAAGGTCGATTCCCTTATCAGGGTTTCCCAAATCATTATACAAAGCATAGTCATAGATCCTATCTGATAATTTTCTAACTCCAGTGCCATCACCCCTCAGATTCTTCAACTCCCTCTGTCTCAGTTCCTTAAGCCCATCAGGAGTCTGGTCTGGTAAATATGGCTGCTCAGAAAGAAATAAAAGTCGATAATTATTTAATGCATTTAAACATGCTGCCAAAAATTAAAATTCTGTATTGATATTAAAGTAAGGGTAAAGTGGGTTAAATTTTTCGAATCCGGATCCTCTTAGTGGAAATTCCGGAGAACCATTAATCATATCCGTTCATCGTACATCCTGCGGTCAGAAATTATTCTAAATATTTTTATTTAAAATTAAATACAAACAGTACCTGACATAAATTGACCGCATTACGATGAACAGACACGATTTACGGCTCCCCATGATCCTTACTAAAAGATCTGAAGAGGATCCTGTTGGAAATTTTTCAACTAAATTTGTAAACCAAATTATGTGTCATCAATAAAAAATAAGCGCGTTAATCAACATTTAAGTAACAATCTAATCATTAACATCCACATTATTTGGTTACAAGTAATTGAATATTTTTTTTTAAAAATATTTTAATTACTAATATTATAATATTTAATGTACTTGACGTATTTTCAGCACATTGAAAATTGTTTCCACGGGGCTCAGGGAGATAGATTGAAACAGTGAAAGGACAAGAAGTGACCAGCCAATTAAGTTATACTTATCTAATGAAAAAAAATAAAATGTGACGCTAATGGCTGCTAGCTATCAAGGTATGACCATTCAAACTTCTCTTATGTAAAATATACACCAAGAAAGTATGCATTAATGTATGATTGATTCACAACAATACCGACCTAAATTATAGGTCATCACTTGCAGATATCCAAAGCCTAAAATAAATAATTAGGTTTTGACTTTCCAATCTAGGCCAAGCAAAATTAAGGGGAAAATGAAATCTACCTTGTTGCAGAAGACTATTCTTTTCTCCGGGTGATCTTTCTTAGATTGCATCCAGGAATTTACAGGAAAATGCAGGGGACCGCAGGCAAAACCTTCAAGGGTTATGGTCTCCAAAAAGAACTCGTTCTGGTGCTTGTTTGTAACTGTAATTGCTCCTGGGACGCCAAAACTTGAGTCCACAGTAAACTCAGCTGTATAATTTACCCTCTCCGCTTTTAGATTGGATTTTTTAGACCAATCTTTTAGCACTCCTTCACTGCTTTTCTTGGGAGCCTTTGTTCCTATAAAAAATTAAGAACACAAAGAAGAAGAAAAAAATTAGTACAATTCTTAAATTGCATACTTGAATTTTAAGTTCATCATTTCTGAAAGAAGAGTGATTTCCATGCACCAATTTTCTCACATACGCACCCTTGTTTATCTCTGACATTCGAATTGAATAAAACAAAGAAAATCAAGTGACGGAAATAAACATGGTGTGCAGAGGAGAAAAAAAAGTGTGGAGAAATTGTTTCTTTTCTAAGAAAATCAGATAGAAAGTTGCTTACTTGGGTCTAATTCTGTACTGACAAGCTCCAAAACAACATTTCTGCCAATTTTGTCAGTGAGGGAATCCAAGTGTTTGGAAATGGCCTCTTTAAAATCCTCCTTGATCTTATTCCTCACAGTCACAACAGCTCTCACCTTCAACTTCGCAGGCTTCTCAGCAGAAAAAACAGGCACAATCTTCACCAAATCTTCACTGATGGCTGCCACAGGACCCCTCTGTGCCCTCCTCAAATGGACCAGCCTTCTCTGTGAAGGAACCAAACTTGGTCTGGCCAAAAACAACTTAGAAGATGATGAAAAAAACTCAGACTTTTCAATCAGAGAACTACCAATGATTTGTTTAGCCAGTGCCATCTTCTTCTTCTTCCTTAATTCTCTGCAAAACTTATATTTGTTCGAGAAAGTTTGAATCCTTTTCTTTTCTTGCTTTGTGCAGAGAAAAAAAGAATGGTAGTTGCAGAAGAAGTGAGATGATTTATTTGGTAATGGAATATGCAGAATACGATGAGTTGGTGCTTCTGCTTTGGTATATATATACAAAGAGAAAATGATTATGCGAGAGAAAAAGTTTGTTCTCACCGTCCACACGTTTTATAAAAAAAATATATGTGCTTGTGAAAAACACTTAGGTTTTTAACCCTACTTTTTAATGTTGGCTTTGTTTTTTTGTATTTTTGTTTTGACAGTATCATTCACACATTTTTATTTTATTTTTAACATATTTTTGTTAATTTGTGTTTATTAATTTTTTTTAATTCATTCAATTCAAACGGTTGAAAATTAAAAATATATGTAAAAAGTAAAAATAATTATGTAGGTAGCACAAGTTTTTAGTTTTTGGGAAACATTTTTTTGGGAGGAGTTCAACTTCAAAGAGAGAGAGAGACAAAAGGGTCCGAGTCAAAAACGAGTTTCAGGTTTCCGAGTAAAGACGCGGTGTAGTGGCATAGGGAAGTCAAAGACTCGGTAGGAAATGTTGGGTTCAAAGGACGAGTATCTCCTTGTCTTCTGTAGAAATGGCAACTGCGTCCTTGTGTAGTAGAAAAGTTTCATCAGTGCGATGTTGATTCTTGTAGAAGTGGATCAACTTTACTAGTCCTTGGTCCTTGGTCCTTGGTCTATGGCCCATGTTTGATTTGACTAAATATATGGTCTTTGAAAAAAAAAAAAAAAACTAACAACTAAGCTTCTTTTTTCTCTTTGACCGTATTTGGTTCTTGTCTAATATATTACTTTTTTTTGGTATAAAATGGGGATAGGAATCCTACATCTTTAGCCTAGTCATAGTTTCGTACCAATTATTTTAAGAGAATTTTAATGAAAAACTTCTGATACTATTTATTTTAATGAAAAAATAAATTTTTATACTAAAAAGTCAATCATGATATTATTCACTTTACCCTTTATTTTGTCCTTATTGTTAAAACTCAAACTTTTCAAGTCTTTTTCATTAGTTTTCCTTTATTCTAAAACAATCACTTTTTTGATATTTAGTTGTAATAATGATTAGATGTAGTTATGTCATCGTTATTAAAAATGATCTTTCTGTAACCAAATATAATAAAATGATCTTTCGTGCTAATTCCCATCATTCTACCCACTCTCTCGTTATTGACCACTAGATTAACTCCAATAATTTTCAACATTTTCTCACGAGAAAAAGTTTATTATTTTATTTTATTATGGGATTGGATAACTTATAGGGAAATATCCAAGATGGGACAATTTCTTAATCTTGGAACAGAAATAAGACAAACAGGTCATGCCCACCATACATAAAACCAAAATTACTAAAATACCCACATATAGATAATAAAAATCAGAAGCCCATTGCTTCACTTTTCTCATTTGGAAGAGATGGATGTCAAGAGATCTCTGTGAGCTCTGGGTTTCTGGGTTGAGCTCTAATTTCGAAGAGAGAGAAATCCAAAGAGAGGTGACAAAAGTGAGCTGGGTTTTGGGTTGACCTCATACCTCTGATTTCGAACAAAGGGATGCGAAAGAGAGGTGAGAAGTGTGAGCTAGGTTTTGTACCATATTTTTTGTTTTGGCCGGAAAGTTCCATTTTTTCCTACGACTAAAGCTTCGACATGCATAGTAAGGTAGGGTGTAGTTCCAAGTTCCTTCATCAATGATTTATGGAGTAAATAGGTTGTTTGTAAGATGAATTATTACTTAGAAGTTAAATTAGGGTTTGTGTTTCATGTTGGGGCCTATGTGTTATGGAATTAATTTAGTGTTTTGACGTGCTACAAAACTAGAATGGAATAATTTTTGGTTCAAGTTTTCAATTGCAGAAATTTGTGAAAATTTTTCTGTATGTGCATGTGGTGTGCATATGGTGTGCATGGCTACATCTTAATATGAGAAAGGGGAATGTTCACTAGTTATGATCCACGTATGTTGTGGCCCAAAATTTAACGAGTATGACCACAACCTAGTTGGCCTCAACGAAAAACAAAATTAAGAAAAAGATTAGAGGACATTAAAGGAACATGCATGTCCATGAATTACGACAACGAGTATCATGTTTTCCACGTGCACGATTAAGCGATGATTGATATAAGTAACAAGACTTTTCAAACTGCCATTATAACCTTATATACGTAACAATTATGTTTTAATTGTATCCACTATACCAATAGGTTGCCATTAAATTTTCTTATTCATGTGAAAAGCAGCTCATTGCTCGATCTCCAATTCTGTGCATATCATGTGCATGTAATATACATATTATGTGCATGTAGTGTACATATAGTGTATATGGATAGGTGATGACGTCATTTTTCTGATTTCAAAGAGAAAGTTGTGAGCTCTAGGTTTTTTGGTTGGCTCAAATCTGTGAGCATATCATGTGTATGTCGTGTACCATACAGTGAACAAATCCTGAAAAATTCATCCAACAAAACGCCAGCATTTAATGATTGGACTTTGTTCCCACCCTCGATGCGAGTCCAGTGGTGGTGGTCTCGAGCCTCAATTGCTTCCCGTGTCGCCAGAAAATGGTCGAGAAATTTGTGGCCTGCTTAAGTTTCGATCCCAAGGATCGAGGATAAGATTCGTGACAAGGTTAGGTGTTTTGGACTCGTGAGGACAAGATGAAAGAGGTGGTGGCTTCGATTTGGATGGTGTTGGTTGGGACGACTGTGCACTGTGTGTGCACAATGAAAAGGGGAGAGGGAGTGCGTGAGGGAGAAAGTGAGAGAATAGAGGAGGGATAGAAAGAGTAGAGAGAGAAATCAAAAAATGGGAGGAAATAACCCATTTATATATAAGGGTAATTAAGTCATTTTAAGGTGTAGAAAAAATCCTATTTATGTTCGATTGTTATGCATGTCGTGTGCATATTCGAAATGTCCTATTTATGTCCTAAGATTAAGGAATTGTCCCAACTTATATTATCAATTAGATATTTTTATTGTAAATAATAGTTTAAGTGGTTAGAGCATTTATTTTTATCAATGTTCTAAATGACATTAGGCACTAGTTGGGCGGCGGGTTGGGGCTTAGCGCCTAGACGCCTAGGCAGAATTAAGTAAAAATACTATATTTCTTGTGAGTAAGTATCTGGTTATACTTAAAATATATGTAACATCCCACATCGACCAATGGAGATGGGTGATGTGCCTTATATGTACATGCCCACCTCCATATAGCACGAGGCCTTTTGGGAACTCATTGGCTTCGGATTCCATCAGAACTCTGAAGTTAAGCAAGTTCGAGCAAGAGCAATCCTAGGATGGGTGACACCCTAGGAAGTTCTCGCGTGAGTTCCCAGAAACAAAACCGTGAGGATGTGGCCAAAAACGGACAATTTCGTGTTACGACGGAGTCGGTCTGAGATGTGACAATGTGGTACGAGTGTGCTGACGAGGACGTCGGGCCCCTAAGGGGGTGAATTGTAACATCCCACATCGACCAACGGAGAGAGGGTGATGTGCCTTATATGTACATGCCCGCCTCCATATAGCACAAGGCCTTTTGGGAACTCACTAGCTTCGAATTCTATCAGAACTCCAAAGTTAAGCGAGTTCAGGCGAGAGCAATCCTAGGATGGGTGAACCCCCTGGGAAGTTCTCGCGTGAGTTCTCAGAAACAAAGCCGTGAGGGCATGGCCTAAAGCAGACAATATCGTGCTACGGTAGAGTCGGTCTGGTATGTGACAATATATAATTTCATCATAAACTACAAAATAAAATGACATATGTATTATGAAGTATTGGAACATAATGAAAACAGGGGGAACAAGCATATAATGTGTGTTCATTTAAGTATTCAACAAGTCTCTTACAATTTATTGAAAAAGATAAAATACAAAATGAAAGCTATCTATTACTGTCTAAGTGAGCCGCGACCTAGGCGGGTCTGGACGGGCTAGGAGGGGTGCCTAGGCAGTCTAGGCGGGTGACTCAATAAATTTAGGTGTCCTTTCTTAATTTTCAAACGCTTAGGCATTAATTGGAACGGTGGACAGCCGCCTAGCGCCGAACAATGATTTTTATATGCAAAGTTCTATTTTGAATCATCTCTCAATATTTATTGTATGTTCTTCATGATTTATAACGAACCCATTATTATATTTAGGGGTGTGATATCTATACACCTTTTTTTACTTCACACACCCTTTTTAATTTTTGACTGGCGGATCAGATGAATTGAAGAAGATCAAATGAGATAAATTAACAAAGAGTGTGTGAGAAATAACAAAGGGTGTGTGGATAGCACACCCTTATATTTAAATAAAATTTCTATATTTTCTTAAATTTGCTATGGTGAGATTCATATTTTGTTAAAAATAAGTACTTCTTATATTACAATTTATATATATATATATATATATGTATATATATATATATATGTATATATATATATATATATATATATATATATTAAATAGGAAGTGTTATTGGCATTCCAAAAATATCATTCTACACTCTTCCCAAGTATATTTTTTTTTCCTAATATAGAAAGTTTGGAGTATAAAATGAGATTTTTAAAGTACTAATAACAATTCCCTATTAAATAGTATGTTTTGTGGTTGCTTCTGGAAGGCTAAAACCGTTTTGAGATAAAAATTTGGAAATGCTTTTAGCTCATACTAACGTTTTTTGGGGAAAAATAAAATAAAATAAAATACTTGCTCTCGCGCTTGAAAGATTTCAACAAGTTTATACCAAAAACTCGCGCATGAGCAAAATGCTTTATTAAAAGTTAGGGGTTTGATTCCCCTTTCAGTATAACATAAAAGTATTAGTTATCGAGTAAAATATCAGATAAACGTTATTACAGATAAGGTAAACAGATAAACTTCATGAATTGCATACATGCAATGATGCAAATTAAAACTGAAGTTG